CAAGCGGAGGGGCAGGCCGCTGCCCCGGGTCACGGTGGCGGTACGGGCATGGGTAGGCTCAGGGCGCAGGCAGCCCCCCGCGGGAAGCTCCTCTGCCCCTGTCGGAGCGCGGCCGGGCAGCCCTCTCCCAGCCCTACTGAGAGGCACTATCTCTGCTTGCCCTACCGGGCCGGCTGGCAGGACGCGGTCGGGTGCACGTCCTCGGTGGCGGGGCCGCCACAGGGCTCCTCCAGTCCGAGGCCAGACGTGGTGGCGGGGCCGGCGCTAGTGGAAGAGTAAACATGGAGGATAGGGCAGGGCTGCCCGCGGCCAGGGCTGCGGTCCTGTTGCACTCTGATGCACTGAGTCGGGAATCGCTACGAGAGACTGCATTCTGCCACACAGCAGCTGTCTGTCAGTGTGATTCCCCCAAAACTAGGGGGCCTGGCCTCTAGTCTCTGAGGGAGCCCGTTGGTTTTCAGAAAGCAAGTATTTTCATCTGTGTCTACTCATCAACCAAGAGACTGCCCTGTCCTGTGTAAACGTTAGACAGAGGACAGTGTCGACCACAGTCAGCCCAGCCCTGTTGCTGTGTGTGCTTCTCACTGCATGAGATTAACAAAGTGATAATGCTTTTATTAAAAATGCTTTTAAATAACAGGTAACTGACATTTCCATCCACAAGAACTGATTGTATTGGCAGTGTAACTCATGGCTTTGCCTTTGTTTCTCTTCATACAAATGTTTCCTGTGTGCTTAGGTCTGGCCCTTGCTGGAGGTTATTTTTAGGATGATTTAGTTCTCTTTATTGAATGTGTGCTCTAGACTTCTGTAACTTCTTTTGGTGCACAAGGCTAGCACCACAGGCAGTGTATCAACCAGGCAGTTTGAAACCTGTTGACCCAGTCAGCTGCACGCTGGCATGACATAGCTGTAACCTTAATTTCAAAACCTAAGTGGGAAGCCAAGGAGGTATGAGATCCAAATGCAGTGCTTGAACTGCTGGTTTTGACATTACGTTTAAAATACCTTTCTAATGGTTGCCTCTGATTTTGGCCAGCGATAAATCCCTGAGGCCTACAAAATACCACATGCTTGGGACTGCTGGAGATGAGGAGTAGTTGTTCTTAGCTTCTTGTATGGGTGACGAAGCAGAAATTCATATGGATAAAACACTGCCCTTTAATTTTGCATCAAATGTCTGCTTGCTGTCTGAGGTGGAGGTTGCAAGGAAGATCTCTGCAGCTGGTATGTACACGGTGAAACCAGCAGCTGTGCCTTGAGGTTGTGTCTTTCAAGTAGGTGCTATATTGGGTGTCATACACTGATTTCTTGTCCTTACCCTCCTCCTCTAAGGAAGAAAATATGCAAAATCAGCCAGGTGCTGTTTTCTGAAGAAATGAGAGTTGTAAGCACATCTGTGCCTTTAGGAAGGATCCAGCCAGAGCCTGACAGCTGTTTGTGATATCTAGGATGCTTCTCCCTCGTGCCTTTCTTTGGAGCTTGCCATGAGGTGGTGGCACTCTCGTTAGTGACCCAACAGGCTGAAGAAGCTGCCACAGAGTCTGCAGGCCTTGCTGAGATAGTCTGGAACAGGTGCCATAGCACTAACTTGCTTTCCTTGGATCTGCAGCAGCTTGAGCAGTGCAGGCGTGTGCCATGGACATGTAACCACGTCTTACACTCGTGGCATAACCCTGGACAGCAAGGAGATTGCTCCAAGATCAGGTTACTGTCCACCCTTTCTGTACACAGCAAATGCCTTGCAGAGATCTGCATTGCTGCAGCAGCTGTACTTCAGCAGTATGACTGGCTGTCCCAGTACCTGCTGCCTCATTCCAGGCTTAATTGCAGCATTAGCTCTATTGCTCTGACAGCACAATTCATGCTGCCTTCTGCCTGTTAAAGGCATTTTGAAGTAGGGGAAAACAATGGCTTTGGCTGAGATGCAGATTAGGCCTGTAAGAATGTTTCATCACTGCTCTTGCTGTTCCTCCCTCCTTTCATTCTGTCACCATCAGCCTCCCTTACTGCATCACAGCTCTAACATAATGTGAGACACCTCATCAGCAACACTGAGTTTTTAGAAGCGATACTCATTTTAGGAGCCTTTTCTAACATATTGGGAGGTCAGAGATTGCAACCGTCAAGTTTACTGTACAGAAGATGGTCCAAGCAGTGCTGCAAGGGTGTGTGTGGGAGAGTGGCCTCTTGTCCCATGAGCAGGCAGAGGCACTGGGTTTCAGGAGAGTCCAGGCTCTGCAGAAGCATACAGAACAGTTGTGGGGGACTCTGGGTGTGGCTATTGTACAACTGACAGTGCGTGTACTGTACTAGCTTTTACATTTTCACTTGTATTCCTAAGCACTTTTTCAGTAAATCTGCAGATCTAGCTTAAGGAGATGGAAATCCCTTCCCAGCAGTGTATTTTTCTTCCTGGTTCTCCCTTGTGTACATGTTTAAAATAGTCCATGTAATAGTTAAAATAGTCCATGTAAAAGTCAGTGTAAATTTTCTTATTCCAACTTTTAGATTTAGGTCTGGAGACAAGATTTAATGCCTGGTGCATGATCTTATTGCAATAAAAACTGCAGAGCTGGACTGCCCAGCAGCTGGGTATAGGGAGCCCTGAGTGTTTGCCTAAGTTTGTGAGGATGTCTGTGTTGATTCACCCAAGCTCCACTGAACTACATTCCTAACTTGTGACTGATGGCCATGTTGTTGGCAGGTTTTCAGGTTGTTAGTCTCTTCTGACTAGAGAAGGTCTTGCTTGCAACCCTGATATTTCATTCTTGGACATCTGTTATTGATTGTATTTTTGCCTGATGTTGGATGGCTACTCTTGTAGCCAGTGTGGTGAAAGAGTAAGTACTCCAGACATCCTGCTGTGAAGTTTGAGTAGTTTGTGGTGCTGCCTGCAGAGTAAGTAAAACATGACAGATGTCTTGTGTGGGGAGATACAATTTGGTTTGAGAGTGTCTTGGATAAGGTGCAACTTTGAAAGGTACAGGTGGTGCTCTGTTGGAAGTTACAGTAACAGGGGTGTCATGGTTCTTTGTTGTCTTGGACCTAATTTATTTTTTTAATTTTTTTAATTTTTTTTTTTTTCTTTTAAAGCAAAAGCTGGCAGGCTGACAAACAGGCAGCTTACAGGACGGACTCTCTGGCTACTGACCATTTAGCTGGTAAGTTCTTATTTTGGGAGATCCAAAGATCTTGCTGTTGCTGAGCTTGCTAGTCAGAGCGGCTTTCTGAGTGTCTCCCTAAGTCAGTCACCTAAATAAGTTTCTCATGAAGAGGCAGTTTCCTGGGTCCTTTCTCTTTTATCTCTAGGGATAAAAAATGGTCTTCGACTGACTGTCCAGATATTCACACACTTGTGTAAAAATTGCACACCATTAATAATTAATAGATTAATGAGACTGTACTTTAGATTAATTAGAGTATGCTTTAAAAATTTGTGGTGTCCCCCTTTCCAGTGACCTTCTTAGGTTACATATCCTCTGCCTTCTTAGGGAGGAGCTTTGGTTTTGGTGACCTCTGTGTAGGGAGGAAATATCCCCACTAAATTCCTGTCTGTTTCAACAAGGAGATTGGGCAGCTGATGGACCCTGTGGGTGCTTTTCAAGAGGATGACTGGAAGAGTGCTCAGTAACATATACTTTGTCTTCCTGGGCTGACTTTGTGCATCCTGCGTGGTGTTGGTAATACTGTTGCCACTTCCATCTCTTCCAGTGGCATACCCGGATTGTGTGTGGGTGGGAAGTCGACAATGAGCTCTGTGGCAGTTTTGACCCAGGAGAGCTTTGCTGAACACCGCAGCGGCCTGGCCCAGCAGCAAGTGAAAGGTGAGTTCCTGTGATGTGCCTCTAGATCCAGACTGCACAAACCTCTTACCCAAGCTTACTCCATGTGTCTGGTTCCCCGAAAGTGTAGTTTTTCCTTTCCTAAGTTAGTGTTTTGCTAGACTCTAGCTTTCCACCGCCAGCAGCACAGTGGTGGTGCTGCACAATGCAGGGCTGTGAGGAGATGGACCTGAACACTTCAGAGAGTTCTGGCTAGCAGTGCTCTCAGCCCTGGGATGAGTGGGACACTGAGCTACATGAGAGCCTCATGGATCAGCATGCTGGGCTGTCATTTCCACCCTTTGCTCAGCCAGGTGCTGGGGGTGGTCAGTAACCATATGAACTGACTCAGTGATGGGTTTTGGCATCCATTCCCAGCTGTGAACTGCCCCATTTGGTATGGCCCAGTGCACAAGTGAGGCAAACATAATGTACAGGTTAGTAATAGTACATAATGTACTAGGCTTTCCCTAGACTTTGCCCTAACTGTAGTCCCTTTCCTGCCTTTTCTCTGGGTTTATGTTTGTCTTACCCCCTTCTGATCTGCACCCTTGCTCTGGTCCTTTCATGTCTTTCTGCTCAGCCTGTTTTGCCGTAATTGAACCTCTCTTGACAGAGTTGGCAATAAGGTGCTGTTTGCTGCCGCCATTCACTTGCATGTTCACTCTCTGCACCCTCTGTGCCAGCTCAGACAAGGCTGGTGGTTTGTGGCATCAAATGCATGTCAGTTGTGCTCCAGACTTAGCAGCCCCATAGGCGTAGTTGTAATAGGATTAATAGCAGGGCACAGGCCATTTGCTCTCCCTTGTTAGCGGTGCCTAATTACAATTGCACTGCCTGTGAAGAGGGGCATTTCTGCAGGTAAATTGACTCATTTTCCCTAATTGCTTTACCCCAGTTACAGCTTTAAACTCTGAAGAAGAGAATGATCCTCCAACCTACAAGGAAGCCTTCCCTCCACTCCCTGAGAAAGCACCATGCTTGGAAACTGCCCAGGAACCCAGTGGTCCCTGGAGCAAAATTCGACCAATAAAGGCTTCTGTCATCACTCAGGTTGGTGGATGTCTTTTCCCCACTCCCAAAGGTGGCTAAGTAGTTGAAGTGAGGCATTCCCTGGAGTATGAAATCCTTGGTGTGTCAGCCTCTTTGTTTTATGTTACCCTGGTACTGCAGCTGAGAGCTAGGACTGCTCTGGAGGGGAGGGATATGTTGGAAAACTGTTCAGAAGGAGCTCTGCATCCCTGTTCCACAAATAGCTGAAGCAGGCCTGAAGGGAGGATTGCAGAATTCCTGTAATGAGTGCTAATCCCCCTTTAGGAAGAGTCCTAGTGTGGGGCAGACTGGCTGCTGCAGTGTTCCTGCACTTCCCTGGGCACAGCTGGTTGATGTGCTGCACAAACCTGGGAGGTCAGCTTGCCACTAACATCCTGTGTGGCCACGGGAGCAGGAAGAACTGTCAGACAAAAGCACACTGACAGTTTGCTGTGCTCTTCTGTGTGTCTGTGGCTGAGCAGGTGTTTCATGTGCCGCTGGAGGAGAGGAAATACAAGGACATGAATCAGTTTGGAGAAGGCGAGCAGGCCAAGATCTGCCTTGACATCATGCAGAAGACAGGAGCTCACCTGGAGCTGTCTCTTGCAAAGGACCAGGGCCTTTCCATCATGGTCTCTGGCAAGCTGGAAGCAGTCATGAAGGCTCGGAAGGAAATTGTTGCTCGACTGCAGACTCAGGTGAGGGCAGCTAACTGTTTCTCACTTGATCCTTGCTCTTCCTCAAGACTCCTGAATGCTTTTGAGACCCTTGGGTGTGTGTGCTTATAAGCCAGAGAGGTGTTATTAGATGACTAATTCAGCTTTGCCATATATTTTCAAAGCATACAGTTGGCAATTTGGAATGGAAATGAGGCTTAAAATAGGGTTCAAAGCTAATTACTGGTCATGGTGTTGCATGAAGGGTGGAGTCTTCAATCTGTGACTTTGTGCTGAGGTGCTGGTGCTGGCAGGGCACAGGCCCCTCATGCAAAATTCATAGTGTGTGAGAATGGAATGGTGCTTTCTCTGAAGTCCTTCAGAGAAGAATGTACAGGGATGGGAGAAAGAAAAGTAGAGAAGAGGGAGTTCTGCCAAATGCTGGAAGCTTCAGATTGGGATTCTGAGTTGTGTAACTTGAGCCTGATTGGTAAGTAATTGCAGACTCCTACCTTGAGTTGCTTCTCCTTTCAGCCCTCTGCATTTTGATTTCTTACCTTCAGGTTCTTGAGTTCATTATCAAAGCAGTAATTCTCATTAAGATCCATCACAGCCAGGTGTCGTGGTATGTTTTAAAGTGTAATGTCCAAGGTAGCAAATGCAATAGTTAATACCATGTCTGCTCAGAGCTGTTCAGCCTGTGTGTCATACCCTGCCCCAGGGAAGAAAATGGGACAAACCCTACATAATGTGCATCTGAAAAAATAGCTTAGGTTGTACTACCACAGATTCATGCCCCACTGCCCTCAAATATCCCTCCTACTTGGCCTCACGTCTGAAAGGTGTGCCTGTATTGCAGCTTATCCTAGGCTTGGCTGGCATCAGTATGTGGACAGGAAGTTGAAGGGTCACACAAAGTGATCTGGTTTTGATTTGATTTATTTCTTTTTCCATTGTAGCTTGAATTGTAAGTGCCTAGTTAGTTAGTAGTTACATATTCACTGGGATCAAGAGCATAGTAGCAGTCCTAAGCTCTCAGGTCAGTAAAAACTCATTGAGAAGGGAAGAAGTCGGGAATCCCTGTTACAAACCAGCCCTCTAATGCTAGATTGAGAAAAGTTCTGGAGACCCCTCTTTTTCAAGAGGAGCCATGTAGAAGTGGTCCCTGAAGCAGCGTGTGCTGCTTTGAAGACACCTTAGCACTCAGTAATGGTAACCATAGTTGAGCTCTCTGCCTGCTGGAATAAGTTTCAGGTGTTGAATTTCAGTTTCCTAGGAGTCAGACTATGTCTTCTTCTCTGTAGCCTTGGCAGCAGATATCAGAGTTCAGATAAACTCTACCCCAGAGCCATCATCCCAGTTGCTCTCTGGTGCTGAGAGACTGTGAGACAGTGGAGCATAGACACCTACCTCCTCATCTGTGCCTGAAGGCCTTTGCTTATTCAGAGTACTGCTCCTGGGAAAACAGAAAGCTTTTTAGGGAATAGTGGGGAATAGTCTAAGACTCCTGGAATACAGACACCTTAGATCAACTCCTCTAGTGTAGTATCAGTGGTGTGCTAGAGTGCATTGCTTTTACTCCTCAGTTGTAGCACTAAGCAGCATCTGATAAAGCTTTCCCTGTACAGGCAAGGGCTCTAATAGATGCTTGGCTTTTGTATTGCAGGCTTCAGCGACAGTTGCCATCCCCAAGGAGCACCACCGTTTTGTCATTGGAAAGAATGGTGAGAAGCTGCAGGACCTGGAGCTCAAAACTGCAACCAAGATCCAGATCCCCCGCCCAGATGACCCCAGCAACCAGATCAAGATCACTGGCACTAAAGAAGGGATTGAAAAGGCCCGACACGAGATCCTGCTGATCTCTGCTGAGCAGGTACTTCAGTCTTGGGATCTCTCTCATGTCATTATCTGAACAGCCATTTTGGTTCTTCATGGTATTTTATATGTTTGTAGCCACCGTGGCCACAGCCAGTGGTAACGCTGTTAATGTGAACAGAGACGTATACTGTTCCACTGGCTGGCTGAGCACTGCTTCCATGTTCTGCACCTTCTGATTCTCCCTTTTGTCCATCTCTCTAACGTCAGATAAGCACTTCTGATATTTTGAAGTGAACCATATTATATGCCAGCTGAGATAAAACAAGAGATTAGAGACTGTCATAAATTGGGAACAGCGGTATTTGTAGATGGAAAAGGATGGAACCTGCAAACTGGAAAGGGTGCTTGGGCAAGAGTGTCAAGTAAGACAGCACTAGGAATTCAGTTGTATGTGGAGAGATGGTAGTATCAACAGCAGTTTCCACTGAGGACTGTTTTGGATTCTTCAAGGATAAGCGTGCCGTGGAGCGGCTGGATGTGGAGAAAGTGTACCATCCCTTCATTGCTGGCCCTTACAACAAGCTGGTGAGTGAGCTCATGCAGGAGACAGGGACACGCATCAACATTCCTCCACCCAGCGTTAACAAGACAGAGATAGTCTTCACAGGGGAAAAGGAGCAGCTGGCCCAGGCTGTGGCTCGTGTTAAGAAGATCTATGAGGAGAAGGTATGGATGGTCCCTAGAGCTTCCTATCTTCCCCGCGCCTGCTCACAGCCCCTCTTCCCTTCTTCTACTTTTGTGCATCCTTCAGTTGCATGCCCCTTGTGTCAGCTCTTGCTCAGCAGCCCTTGCAGTATGTCGACCTGGGTCTTACCATTTCCTTGCTCAGCAGAGTGGGACTTGGGGTGATTTTGCCGTGGAGGTTACAGATCTCCTGTTTTTTGTGTAATGGTAATTAGCAGACCACAAAGAACTCTCTGGGTGCATGTTTTCACAGGTGCTGCAAAGGAAGGAGGGAAGTGTGAAAGCTACAGTGTGGCCAGCTAACAGTATTAAAATTGTTACATGAGTAGAAGTTGCTGAAAAGTAAATTTCACTTCAGTTTATTTTCCATTGCTAGTGTCACTGGGAATATCCTTGTTGTGGGTTGTTGGTCTGTTTTTCCTCATGGTTACGTCTGTATTTATACCAGTCTGAATTTCAACACAGATAATCAGCTTATAGCATGGTGTTGCATTACAGCACTGCCTGGGGACAGCTGGGCATTGTGCAAGGGCAAGGGTGTGTATGTGGTCTCTTCCATGTAGTGTCCCAGGGATCTTAAACAGAATTTTACAGATAAACTGTAAATTTTTGAGAATAGGATTTTCTGTAGGCAGGTCGCAAAGATGCAGATGCTAGGGTACTGCAGAACTGTACTCACCTTTGCTTTGATCTTTCCTGGGTGCTGAGCTTCACTGCATCTTGTGTCTCTTCCTTTCACTTTTGTCCTTCCCTGCTCCCTTGTGATTGATGCTTCAGTGCCTCTGCTTCTACAGAAAAAGAAGACTACTACCATCGCTGTGGAGGTGAAGAAGTCCCAGCACAAGTATGTCATCGGCCCCAAGGGTAATTCCCTGCAGGAGATCTTGGAGAAAACTGGAGTCTCTGTCGAGATCCCACCCACTGACAGTAGCTCAGAGACGGTGATACTGCGAGGCGAGCCTGAAAAGCTTGGGCAAGCATTGACTGAAGTCTATGCAAAGGTATTGGCAGGATTGGCCAGGACTGCTTTGAAAGCCCCACAAAGATACATCCCTGGGCACTGATAGGTGGAGGGGAGTGGTTGCTGTCAGAGGATGCAGCTTAGAACTCAGTAAGGAGGGTGCAGCATGGGAATTGGAAGTGAATTTTTGAGAAGGCCTCTTCTGGTCTGTCCATCAAACAGCTTCTCTGTCTCTCAGGCCAACAGTTTTACCGTCTCCTCGGTCTCAGCCCCCTCTTGGCTTCATCGTTTCATCATTGGAAAGAAAGGACAAAACCTGGCCAAAATAACTCAGCAGATGCCAAAGGTATGGATGAAGCTTAGCACCAGTTGAAGCAGAATGTGATTTAATCCAGCTCACTCTTTGTGGAGAGAGAAATGTATTTTACTGTGGATAAAACCAGGGAGGAAATTACACATATCTTAAAATATTCAGGGGAACTCCCAAATTCTGCTGCCTGGAACACTTCCCATCCTATATTACTTTCAAGCATTGAGTCCTTCAAGGGAAGCTGTATGGGTTAGTGTTTGGTGAATTGATGTAGAACCTGTAAATGCTGACCTCAATGAGGCTTCTCTCTTGTGAGTTAGATGGTATCTGGAGAAAGGCTAGGTGAGGAACTTCTCCAAAGTCCTTGCAGACTCCAGGACAGCACCGAATCCTTATGCTCTAGATGACATTGAAATGGTCAGAATTGTAGGTTGCCTGCTTCTAAAATCACATGTACCCTATGTGGTAGGGATTGATGGTGTAGGCCTGACTGACAGCATTTACCTGGTTTGTGTCTTGGAAAATTCTTAGTGGTCTCCTTGCCTTGTGTCTCAAGGTTCACATCGAATTCACTGAAGGAGAAGACAAAATCACTTTGGAAGGACCTACAGAAGATGTGAATGTGGCTCAGGAACAGATTGAAGTCATGGTCAAGGATCTGGTAAGTTGGTGGTACTAGTTATGGTGTATAAGAAGAAAATGGGGAAAGGTGGGGCAACAGAACAGAGGTGAAGTGTAGCTCATGTCTGTGGGTATCTTCAGAGGCTTAACAGAACTAGCAGAAGGCAAGTTGTGTGACAGATAAACAAAAATCTTGGTTATGAAGCTTTTCTTAAAAAATCATGAGTGTATCTTTAGTCTTTTGATGCAGAGAAGGAAAGATTCTCTTTCAGTCACAGCTGGAGAGGCATTTAAGTCCCTTTAAAAGTTTCACAAGCATGGTGCTCTCAGCTCAAAGCAGAAGAGTGTTCTGCTCTGCTCACTAGCAAGGCTGCTTGTAGCTGGCAGCTGGAGTCAGTGCCTGCACTGGCAGTGGGCACAGGCAGCAGCAGAGGGGGCCTGCCCTGCCTAGCTCTGTACAATTCTTTGTAGATCAGCCGGATGGATTATGCAGAAATCAATGTTGACCACAAATTCCACCGACACCTCATTGGCAAGAATGGAGCTAACAGTAAGTGGGGTTCCTTTCTCATCCTTCCTGTGCTCAGATTCTCTGTGATTAGTCAATGATATTGTGGCTCTGCAGCTCAGCCAGGGTGCTGCCTCCATTACATCGCCTCTGCCCTTCTGGAGTGAAGTTGGCACAAGAAGATAAATGGGCAGTGAGGCCTTGGGATGGCTTTAATGTCTTGGAAAGTTGAACAGATTACTTTGTTGTGTCCTGGCAGAGTATTTGTGTTTTGGGGAGGTTGGAGAGTTATCATTTTCCTTTTTTCTGATTGGTCTATGTAAATTTTGTTTTAGAACTCAGTTGGGGTTGGGGGTAGAGGTAGAAATCTGCATGGTGAGTTTCCCTGCAGAAGAGAATTTGGGATTAGACATGAATGAGTATCTTCTAAACTAAATATAGTGCTGTCTGGGGAAGAAACAGATGCCTCGCTCTGGCAAGTGAACTAGTGCCTCCAGATGCTGTAGTATTTAATTGTACAGATTCCTGTGTAGCATGGATCTACTCTTGCTCGAACCCCGGATTGAAGAGGCACATTCCCCTGATTCAGCTCCACCCCTCTGGCCTTTCCTCAGAGCCTGTTCTTAAACAGCCTCTAGTCAAGGTGTCTTTGCTTCCAAATCTTGCCCTAGCAGAGTGTGTCACCACAGCCCTTGCCTTGCAGTTAACAGGATTAAGGATCTCTACAAGGTGTCTGTGCGCATTCCCCCGGACAATGAGAAGAGCAACCTGATCAGAATTGAAGGAGACCCACAGGGGGTCCAACAGGCCAAGAAAGAGCTGCTGGAACTCGCTTCCCGTATGGTTAGTGGGATGTGATCCCTTTGAGGCCACAGGGTTTGAGCTCTTGTGTTCCCTAGTAACCTCTTGGCAGAGGTGCGTGCCCCTTGCCCACTGAGCACTTGGATCTCCTGACAAGTGTGAGTTCCTCTATTCCCTTGGATCCCCTTTTCTGTCAACCTAGAGTGAATTATGTCTGGAGGAAAACACTGATGCCAAGTAAGCTGTCGGGCAGCAAGCTGGTAATTACAGTTATGTGACTCTCCTGCTGAACACTCCATGCAAACTCTGTTTTCTACAGGAAAATGAACGCACCAAGGACCTAATCATTGAGCAGAAATTCCACCGGACCATCATTGGGCAGAAGGGAGAGCGGATCCGGGAAATCCGGGAGAAATTCCCAGAGGTAAGCCTTTCTAGGAGATAGGGGATTCAGAGGACATATTTCCTACATCAGTAATAGACACAGGGTCAGTAAAGTCATGAATGTAGTGTCTCTGTGACTATGAGAAATATGTAACTGATAATGTGTCTGCTCATAAATCTAATACATGTGAGAAGGTGGTTCTTCTGGCCAGAGACTGCTCACGTGGTTACCCGCTTCCACATGGGAAAGGAGATGTGCAGGATCCCCCCAACCTTTGCATATACCTGACATGACAATTCTTGTATTCGTTTGAGTTGACCATAAGTGACCAATTTCCTGCAGGTTATCATCAACTTCCCAGACCCTGCACACAAGAGTGACATTGTCCAACTCAGAGGTCCCAAAAACGAGGTGGAGAAGTGCACCAAGTACATGCAAAAGATGGTGGCAGACCTGGTAAGGCAGACTTCATCTGCTGTTCTCTCTTCCAGGCCTGGATAACCCTGGAGTAGAGCAGAGCTTGTCTAGGGCTGACACACCTCAAGATGAGGGAACTGTGGACATGATTCCATGTGTATTGAGCAAGTAATACCTGTTATTTAAGGGCTATAGGAGAGGGTACATGTCTTTGCTTAATCTTGGAAGTGTCCCATATGGAGAATTCCTCGGGTCTAAGCCTGTTATCAGAAGCTTGTTTATCAAGTTCCTGGGATGGGGCCTCACTTGCCAGAATGGTGTAACCTTCAATTCTCCCTTCCTCTCTCTCTTAGGTTGAAAACAGCTTTTCTATTTCTGTTCCCATCTTCAAACAATTCCACAAGAACATTATAGGGAAAGGAGGTGCCAACATTAAGAAGGTGAGATATCTTTCCTGTCTTCACTGCTTATTGTGGTGACTTCCTGCAGCAAAATCTCATTCACTGGTCTCCCCTGCTCATTGGTAATGTAAAATAAAACCTCCAAGGCCTTTTTATCTGACATGGGACACCTCTCAAATGATTTTGCTGAGATTTTTTTTTTTTCAGATCCGTGAAGAAAGCAACACCAAAATAGATCTCCCAGCTGAGAACAGCAACTCAGAGACAATTGTTATCACAGGCAAAAGAGCAAACTGTGAGGCTGCTCGCCACAGAATTTTGGCTATCCAAAAGGAGCTGGTAAGTGAAACAACTGGCCTGTGGCAGATTAGGGACTTTAAAACATAAATATAGGAGTTACAGGAGATAAAAATATAGAAGTGCTTGCAGTGGGGTGCAGCAGTGGGGAGACAAATATAGATGTCAGACTGTTGACTCTTGTCGGCCCACATGTTAGGAGTGGCCAATCCCAATTCCCTCTGGTCAGGCATTTCTCACACTCTCTTTGCAGAGCTCCTGGCAATATGGGAGTTAGAGGGCAAGCAGAGTCTGTGCAAACATGTTCCTACAGCTTGACTAACACCCAGTACTGTCCTTGCTTAGGCCAACATCACAGAGGTGGAAGTCTCTATTCCTTCCAAACTCCACAATTCCCTCATTGGCACCAAAGGCCGCTTCATCCGCTCCATTATGGAGGAATGTGGTGGAGTCCACATCCACTTCCCTACAGAGGGCTCTGGCAGTGACACTGTGACCATCAGGGGCCCAGCCCAGGATGTGGAGAAGGCCAAGAAACAGCTGCTACATCTGGCAGAGGAGAAGGTGAGCCTTGCCTTACAGGGGAAGGAACAGGTTGGTTTGACCAGCTGTTTCTTTTTGGAGGTTGAAGTGGTTCCCTCTTTTCTGCATGGAAGCCTTTGGCATCAATTGAACAAATCCTCTTTTGAGGGATCTGAGTACAGTTTGGATGATTAAAAGAAAGCTGTACTTCCATCCTTGTGACAATGAGCTCTTCTCTCATAAATAGAAGAACTGTCTGTAAAGCATCTCTGGCCAGACTGATGATACAGTCAAAGTTAAGGCTCCCTGTTCCTGTGATTTGAATGTTCTTGGGTAGCTAGCTGCACTTCTCTGAAGCAGTTTACTCTGTAGATGGCCTTCACTTTTTTCATGATCTCTGCATTTCAACTCCAGTTCTTCCATTTCACTGCATATATTCAGATGTGAGAACTTCTGGTTACAAGACCTTGCTCTGAGTCGTGGCAGACTGGTCATTTTAATAGCAAGCTTTCTGGGGTCAGCTTGTGAACAAGTTCTCCCTGGGAATTGGTTGATTCCCTCTGTGAGCCTGGCTTGCAGTAGTCAGTTAGCAAATGATTGTGTTGCTTTTTGTGTGGGTCAGACCCTTCTCCTAGGGAAGGCTCTACTTATATTCTCACTGGTCGTGCTGAGTGTACAGTTAGTTTTTTGGCCCTGAGAACATCTTTGGGGTAGTGTCTTTAATTTAAGTCATTGTATACCTTTTTTACTTTCAATGGTGCACTGCATCTACCTTGCTTTTGCAGCCCTCTGCATGTGGATGCAGGTAATATATCTACATGCTGACTGTTGGTGCTGATGGATATTTTCTATATATTGACATGTTCCATGGGTCTCTGGCTCCTTTCAGCAAACAAAGAGTTATACTGTGGACCTCCGTGCAAAGCCAGAGTACCACAAATTCCTTATCGGTAAGGGTGGTGGCAACATCCGTAAGGTGCGAGACAACACAGGGGCCCGCATCATCTTCCCCACCTCTGAGGACAAAGATCAGGAACTGATCACTATCATGGGAACAGAGGAGGCTGTCAAAGAGGCACAGAAAGAGCTGGAGGCCCTCATCAAGAACTTGGTATGAACTTTTTCTACTTTCTTGTCTCTCGCTGTGGCAAGGTGTTAATGAGTCACCATGAAGGAGCTGCTTGTCCTAAAACCATTTGCTGCCCTTCGTGGGAGCTCAGGAAGTTCCTTTCTTACCTTGGAGTGAGGTTGTAAACTGATTGCTCTTGAGTGCAGCCAACTTGTGCCCATCACCAGGACAGGTAGGGTTGACTGGCTGTTGTATGTTGGCAGGATAACGTGGTTGAAGACTCCATGGTGGTTGACCCCAAACACCACCGCCACTTTGTCATCCGTCGAGGACAAGTTCTCCGTGAGATTGCAGATGAATATGGTGGTGTGATGGTCAGCTTCCCGCGTTCTGGTACCCAGAGCGATAAAGTCACCCTCAAGGGAGCCAAGGATTGTGTGGAGGCAGCCAAGAAACGCATCCAGGAGATCATCGAGGACCTGGTATGTTGTAGAAAAACTGTTTCTTCTGCACTCTGTTCCTTCAGCAGTGTCCTCCTTGAACTTGCTGTATGACCAAGCTTTATGTGAACAAGTCCCATGGTAGTTCTTGGATTTGAACCTTTGCTGTCAACATACAGGGTCTGCAGACTTCAGATCCTGGTCTGGGGGTAGCAGCTGGCTCCAAAATGGCAATGCTGTAGGAATGAATTTCCTCCTCTGACAGTCTTCTTGGTTTTTAGGGGTGGAAGTAGGAGACCACTCCTTGATATACATCTAGACATTAAAAGATTGGAGCCTTCCTGTGCGTTCTGTCTGGCCTTTGGCAGTGATTGCTTTCAGGGGTTTCCTGCACTGTGAATACTGGCTTTTGGAAGCAGTCAAGTGTCAGACCTTGACGCTTTATTCCCTTCTATCTTTATTTTTTTTCATTTCTTCTAATGCTTCCTCCTCTTCAGGGTATTAAAGAGTTTAAGCTTTGCTCTTGGCAGCCTTTAATGTCCTGAGTTGAAGGAAACCTTCTTTAAATCCTCTGCTCTTCTCAGAGAGGAATGATTCTAGGAAATTTTCAGTTCTTCCCGTCAGCCACTGTTATCTTTTCTGACTCCTCTCAGTGTCCATTTTGGATTTCACCATGCACAAATATCCTGTTTTCTGGTGTGAAAGAGGCTGTATCACAATAGAGCAACTCTGCTTTCCCACAGGAAGCTCAAGTGACAATCGAATGCACCATTCCACAAAAGTTCCACCGCTCCATTATGGGCCCCAAAGGATCCCGAATCCAACAGATCACCCGGGACTATGGTGTTCAGATCAAATTCCCTGACAGGGAGGAAACCCCAGGTATACCTGTGGATGTATGTTTGGATGGTAGTTGAGATTATTAAATAAGTGTAGTGTAGCCTACACTCTGTACCAGTGGGCATGTTCTACTTAAAATGTATGGAGAGAACTGATCCCTGGTGTTCCTGCAGTGTCCTTGAATCTGGGCTTAGCATCAACCTTGTCCTCTTGGGAAGGGGGATGGTTTCAGAAGGTCAAACTGCAGCGTGAACTGGGTGTTGTGAACATGTTATCATTGTAGAGTACAATGGGACAACAAGGACTTACCCTGACTTAAAAGGCTCTATGGACTTAGTGAGGTCTCTCTGAGCTCTCACTGGTGGCTGAGCCTTAGGATCTGGAGGAGGGAGATGATAAGCAAGGAGGGGGCTCAGTGCATTGAACACAAGACTTTCCATGTTTTCAGCCCCTGTTGTGGAGCCAGCTGTGCAGGAGAATGGTGAGGAAAGTGGGGAAGGCAAGGAAGGGAAGGACACAGATCCCAGCTCTCCAAAGAAGTGTGATATCATCATCATCTCTGGCCGCAGGGAGAAGTGTGAGGCAGCAAAGGAAGCGCTCCAGGTGTGTGGCTTTCTCAGCCTGTTAAGGTGGTGATGCTTGGATGTAATTTTTGGTGGTGGTAGTAAAAGCTGCTCAGTCCAGCTGCAATGCAAGTGGTCAGTGATGCTGGCTATAGAGGGGGTCTGCACTGCTCAAGAGAAGCCACTCTTCTTTGTGTCTTAGCCTGGAAGCTTGAATCATAGTGCTTCACTTTGCAATTACTAGTGCTTGTAAGCAGCCCCAATAGCTATAAGTGTATGACATGATTGTTTTACGGAGCACAGCTGGGAAGAGGAGGAGTCTGGTTGAGGCTGAGTCATTCCAGGTTCAGCAGACCTTGCTGTGCTTCTGTAGTGCTGTTTTGCAAGTCTCTGCTAGACTAAAGCCAAGGATGTGAAAACAACTTGTCCCACAGGTGGGGTTTCAGATGGCTTTTTTCGAAAACATGCATCATGTCATTTTGGTGTTCCCAGCTGTCCTCTCTTCCTGTCAAATTTGTATCCTGACTACAAGGGAATGTACCTCTGTTCAGCAAGATGTTCTTTTGGGCAACTATATGGCAAGCTAGAAGACAGGAGAAGTTTTTCCACTGGTAAACCATGCTCCATCCCCTGCAGGCTTTGGTTCCTGTCACCATTGAGGTGGAAGTTCCCTTTGATCTTCACCGTTACATCATAGGCCAGAAAGGAAGTGGGATCCGCAAAATGATGGATGAGTTTGAAGTAAGTTGTTACTCTTCCTTCCATCTCCTCTGTCCTGGAGAATTTGTAAGTGACCGTGTCGGAGGTTTGGACAGTTACAACATACTCAGGTCTGCTGTGCAATCCAAGGCTCCATAATAGGAAAATGATCCCTTTGTGTTTTGGACCCTAGATCCAGGGCTTGGTACGTTTGTACGATCGGTGTTGATGTTGTTGTGAGTGTTGCATGACTTGTTTGGTATCTGCAGGGAATTCCTCATCAGTATGAGAGTTGTTTTTCTCCTCGGCCCTGGGAAACAGCTCTGCTGTGCCTACTCATTCAGGAGAATTCTCCAGAGCCTCTGGGGCTGATGCAGGTTGGCTGCAGTCAGTGTTGTTGAAAATATATTTGTTTCCTGGCCTCTCTAGGGCAGTACAGGGGATGAAGAAAAATACTTTTATTGAAAAACCATCTAGAAATGGTGCCAGGCAACTGACTCCAGGTGGCCAGCTTGGTGACCTCCAGAGGTCCTTTATAACCTCAGCCATTCTGTGGTTTTTAGGCTGCCGGGGTGGGAGCTGGTCTTGGTGTCAGGTGAGACCAGTGAGATGCTAGCTTGCAGTCAGAGGAATCACAAGCGATGCAGAATGAGCAGTGATACAAAATGATAATCACTACTTGTTATTCAGGTGAACATCCAGGTGCCTGCTCCTGAGCTGCAGTCAGATATCATCACAATCACTGGGCTGGCTACCAACCTGGACCGTGCCAAGGTTGGGCTCCTGGAAAGAGTGAAGGAGCTGCAAGCTGAACAAGAGGATCGGGTAAGGCCTGTGCCTCTCCTCCTTCCTTCCAGCCAAACATGGCCTCAGCCTCTGGGTGAAGACTCCTGGAACACCTCATCTTTTAGGGGCACCCTTAGCTGCTCTGTGGGTGTGGAATGGTCATAAATGGGTTACTCAAATGCAGCTCATTTACCATGAACAGACAGAGTTTGGGAACGTGGCTTTGGACTGACCAGGTCTTTCTCACACCTTCATGTACTTTTGAGACACTTGCGGGTGGGAACCTCACTGTGCTGCCAGTGTCTCTCTGCCTATCCTCATATCCTTATCCTTATCATAGCCCTGAATAATAGGTTAGGGATGAGTTGGGTGGTTGTTTGCTGTTAGCAATTTCCTTCTGAACTTGGCAAAAGCACAAGGCTCCAGTGGATGGATGGCTTGGGTGCTCAGGCGTAGCCCTGCAAAATCTGTTCCATGGATCTCAGATGCCAGAAGGAAATGCTGTGACTTAAGTGGACATCACTGGAACAGCCACAGTGTGTTCATTGTTCTCACTCTGCTTCTCCTTTTCCAGGCCCTACGAAGCTTCAAACTGACAGTCACTGTAGATCCCAAGTACCACCCTAAAATCATTGGGAGGAAGGGAGCAGTGATCACTCAGATACGCACAGAGCATGAGGTCAACATCCAGTTCCCTGACAAAGATGATGAAAGCCAGGTGAGAGATCAGACAGAGTGCAAGGATGGCTAGTGGTTGTCTCTGAGCATCTTCTCAAGAGTTCTATACTCTCTCCACTGCTTTTGGATAAGGTGCAGGGTAAAGGGGGTTAGCAGGGAGAAAGCTTGCTCAGCTGCTTATGAGCTTGGTCTCACACATTTCTGTGCCCCAGGCCCAAGACCAGATCACCATTACTGGCTATGAGAAGAATGCTGAGGCTGCCCGGGATGCCATCATGAAGATCGTGGGTGAGCTGGAGCAGATGGTTTCCGAGGATGTGACTCTGGACCATCGTGTTCATGCACGCATCATTGGTGCACGTGGAAAAGCTATCCGCAAAATCATGGATGAGTTCAAGGTGAGCAGCAGGGCAGTGCCACACAGGTCAGTGCCAGGCTGGGCCTGGGCAGCCACGTACTCCTGTGTAAAGAGCTTGGTGATGAATGAGGCTCACATCTTGTGGTTCTTGTGTCTTGTGCCTTTTCAGCATCTTCAGTTAGAACAGACATGAAAGAAATGCCAGTGCGGCCCTGCTCACCTTCAACTCCCCCAGCATATGAGCTGCATCCCTGGCCCAGGGCACCCTGGTATGCCCAGGGCAGCCAGGCTGTCTGGACACTGTAGCTAGACACCAGCTAAAGCATCCTCACACCTCAGCTCTGAGTTATTTTTCTCTGGGAGCCAGGCCAAGAGCTTTTCCTGTTTTGCTGGAACCCAGACAGAACTGGAACCTGAGAATGCTTCCTTGGTGCTCTGGATTAGCACTGGGCTCTGTCCCTCTCTGGAGCCCTTTTCTTGGGTTTCTTGCGGACAGGGTCCCATTTGATCTTGAGAGAGGCAGAGCTACTCTGATTACTGGAAGTGGGCAACCAGGCCTCTTGCTGGGAGGCTCTGTGAGGAGGCTGTCCCCAGACCCCCCCCCAGCTATTTGAGCTGAACTCAGGGAATTCCTCTGGCTTTTCTCTAGGCCACTGTGGATCCCCTTGACTTTGGGAATCATGGTGTATTCTCAGGGCTGCAGAGGTGGCAACATCAGCTGGCTCCGGGAAGGTCAGGGACCTCTGCCCTGATAATGTATTGCATCAGCAGCAGGCTTTACTGCAAGGGCAGCAGTGAATGTGAATACTGAGGGATGGGATTTTGGAGACTTGCATTTTGGCTGGGCTCAATTACTGAAACAAACTGGTTCCCAAATGAGCAGCCTTTGGGTTTGGTCCTGTCCTGTTTAGATTTCTGGCATCCATCTGAAAGGCAGGGTGTGAGAGGGCACAGTGCTTGTGTATGGGATGCACTAGGCCAGCTCTATAAAACGATTGTCAGCCAGGATTATTTTGTGGCAAACACAGAAAGCTTATTGTGCTTTGTAGTGATGGCTCAGTGGTAAAAATGCTTGCAGCAGTGTGAGGACACTGTCTGGAAATGCAGCCGCTCTCCTGCCGCTGCTGCAGAGGTGCCCAGAAAACAGTGAGCCTCCGGGAGTGAGAGCAGCAGGGGCTGCTGGAAATTAGGTCCTTACTAGAGTGCTCTGCTCTCCCCTACAGGAAACTGGGCAAGCTTTGGGGCCAGCTATATACTTGCTTACCCCTCAGTGTCTGAGCTGTGAAGATCTGAAACAGGCTTGTGTCTGTGAACAGACAGTAATTAGGGCATCAGTGATCTGTGATTCCAGTGACAAGGGTCATGAGGAGTCTCTGACATTTCAGACGTGCAGGTCTAAGTCTTGTGCTTTTCCTTGTGTTACAGGTAGATATTCGCTTTCCCCAGAGTGGAGCTCCTGACCCCAACTGTGTGACTGTGACAGGACTCCCTGAGAATGTGGAAGAAGCTATTGATCACATCCTGAACTTGGAGGAGGAATATGTAAGTGTTCAGCAAATCTGTGATGGGGCTTAGCAAGAGCTTCCCCTGCTACAGAGGATGTCTGAACTATGTCCATGTGGTCTTTTTTTCCACTGCATTAGAGAAACTGAGCCCTGTGCAGGTGGCTGTCAGCCTCCACTGCAGCTGTCCCTCAAACCAGCTGGACTGTCCCTTGTGTCCAGGAGAGGACAGTGAATGAGAATGCTGGGACACCCCAGGATGTGCGTGCTCTTGCCTTGTAGGAGCTTACACCAATTAAAAGTTGTATCCCTCAGACTAGTGCAGATACACCATTTTTGGTCATTGTAGAACAGGCTGCTGAGCTTGAACAGGTTGCAGTGTGGTGAGATGGAAGGGTAGGCATTTTATTCCAGTTTGAGGAGCTATCCAGATCCCCCCTCACTGGTTGTGTTACTGCAGCTTGCAGATGTGGTGGACAACGAGGCAATGCAGGTGTACATGAAGCCCTCCTCACATGAAGAGTCCAAGGCCCCATCCAAGGGCTTTGTGGTGAGAGATGCCCCCTGGGCCACCGTCAACAACGAGAAGGTGAGTGCTGCTTGTGCTGCAGGCTGGGGGCACAGGGTATGGGGACGCTTCTGTCTGTGCTGGGGACACAGAGCACCCTCTCTCCTTGGTGACAGACAAAGCAGCTTTTTGCTGCTCTTTGTGGCCTGAGCATAGGCCTGGGCTCTCCTGTCCAGCTTTCAAAGCACTTTCCCAGTGTCTTGTCCACTCTGACTACACCACTGTGGAGCTGTTAGGGAATGGGGGATCTTTACCAGAAAGTGTCCTGCCAGGTTGTGTTATTTTTAGGTGTAGGGATAGAGCCTGGGACTTGAGACTCTTGCTGCAGCTCAGTCGCTGGCTCAGTGTTTGCAGCTCTGAGTTGGGACATGTGGTAGCTCATCCTCAGCTGCCCCAGTGCTGCTGCAGGGCTGGACTGACCTTGCTCCTGTGTCTCAGTTACTGAGCTGGGACCTTTGGAGCCCTTTGCACCTTATCTTCACCCTCCTCACTGTCACCTCTAGCTGTTCTGGGGCCACAGTGATCCTCTTTGTCTTCCCAATTGTCTCTCCTCCTGGGATATCAACGATGCTGCTTAGCTCAGGGCCTCTTGGTGTAAGTTCGCAGCAGGGCAGGAGCTTAACTTGTTCCCTTTTTGTTTGCTCTAGGCCCCTGATATGAGCAGTTCCGAAGACTTCCCCAGCTTTGGGGCTCAAGTGGCCCCCAAGACTCTTCCCTGGGGACCCAAACGATAATGACCTGGAAGCAGAAACTCCTCCAGCCCGCTGACCTGACACTAACCTGCCACAAATACTTCCTGTCTGAAATCTGACCCAGCGGCTGGAGCACATATCAATTGTCCCAAGAGGTCTCCTAATGGTGTCTGGAGTGCTAGACCCCATCCTGCTCCCCTCAGCTAATCACCGTGTCTAGGACCCACCCTCATCTCTTGATGGATATTCTTTCCTCCTTTGGAACAAGACTTCCACTCAGATTCAAACACTAAATGTGTGTGTTTTTGTTAGAACCTTCATAATTGACTTCAAGTGGCTAAGATTTGCAGCTTCCCAAGCGCTAGCAGAGCAATCTGCTCTTGAGCATGTCTGACTAGGCATTCTCGCCTTCATTAGGAGACCTCCTTTACTGTGGCTAGGAATCTACTTCCTGTCTCATGACCTCAGGAAATAAATTTCCTTGACTTTCTAAAGCCAAAATGTTTGCCCTCTTTCCTTTGTGTTTATCCCAGGCCTTACCTTACCTTTGTAGAGTGCAATCAACTTTTTTTCCTTTTAACTGCCAAAAATTCATTTAATGCTGATAGCTGACTGTGGGGAGAGCTTAAAATATAAGGTCAGAAATCTGCTTTTTAAAGAAACAAAACCTTCAATAGGCTGTAGAGACAACAGAGATGGAAGGGGCCAGAACAACGTATGTCTACCCTGATCAGGAAAACACCAGTGAGCGCGTGTCCCTGCGCCACACCAAGCACAACCCCAGCCTGCACGCTTGACCGGTCTTCCAGTGCTTGATGACAGACCCCACTCCTTGTTCCCCCTTCCTAGCAGTGTGAGCAGGCAGGAGAGCCAGCACATGGCAGTGTGGCTGGATGGGACAGGTTTGGCTCGGCCAGGGTTGCTGCAGTGACTGGATCAGGAGCAGCTGGTGGGATGCAGAGCCTGGAGAAGCTGTAGCCCACTGTGAGTGCTGCAGCAGCTCAGCACGAGCAGCAGTCACACCGTTCCTTTTTGCCTTCTTTCTACCTCAAACATCAATACGATGGGGGCCTCTCAATGGCCATGGGTTAGCAGCTACTCAAGCTGTCACCTGGGCAGCCATAGCAGAAGCAAGAGGAGCCTTGTGTCTCCGCACAGCTGTGAGAGCTGCTCCAGAGGGAAGCAGAGCATGGTGGTGCTGAGGCAGGCTGTGAATCCGTAGGAGCGCATGAGCTAGCACAAGGCTTGGCCCCAAGGCTGCGGGTGCAACTGTGCCGTAGCCATGGCCTGCAGAGGTTGTGTGAGCTAAGCTTCTGCTCCAACAGCACTGGGGGTTGATGTGTGTGCTGAGCCTTCCTGAGACCTCCATCATGTGGTAGAGGGTGATCCACAATCTGTACTTGGGGCTGCTTGCACCTGGGCCCTGCCACAGCTTGCTCAAAGGGTGTTGTGTCTGAGCTCCTCCAGCAAGTGAGAGGAAAACCACATCTTTGTGAAGGGAGGCATGGGGTTTTTGTATGCCCCAGCATCGGTCCTACAGAGCTTGTAGTCTGAGCCATTCCTCTGTCCCAGCTGCTTCAGTTCTTGGACAAGCAGGAGTCCCTAGCCTCTCTTCTCTAGTGCTACTGACAGAGCACAACAGGCAGGCTGAGCCCAGCCACCTTGCCTTTCCCTCCTTGGGACAGGCTGAACATGCTGATGCTTTTCCTTCCTGCTCCAGCTCTTCTTGACAGAGACTGCTATGCAGAAGTCAAACCAAAACCTCACAGTGCTCTCCTTTAGTCTGAGAACGGAGTGAAACAGACCATGGCCCATTGTGGGGTGCCTGGTTGCCCCTGAAGGACAGGGTGGCCTTGCCTCCAGCACGGGAGAAGGAGAATTAGGGGAGGTACCTTCCCATCTGCATCTGTCAGGAAATGGTTAATACCCTGTAGCTTAGGTCTGCCCTGCATCACCAAGCCTATCACCCCCTCCTCTTTATGCCCCCATGCCCTCACCAGTTGCACAGCAAGGCTTGAGTTACATCCAGGGCATCCACTGCCTTGGGCTTATGCCCCACAGCCCAACCTTCCACTCTAAAGAAGGTCACAAAGTGATTGTACCTAGTACTGTCCCCCCACCACCCTCCTTCTGCAGCAGACTGTGGCATGTGTCCATTTCTTCTCTTTGACGTCTTCCATATTGTATGTTTCCATAGCAATGATCCCTTGGCCTTAACTTTGGAATTTGGAGACTATATGCAAACATGTAAAAAGGCTCCTGAGTATGGATGACACTGGAATTTTATAAATTCTAAAATAAAACCTGAAACAGCTTGGAGTGTGGTGGGTATTATTTCTGCTGGTGGGGTGAGATCCAAGACAGCCCATACTGGGATGGGTTCAGCCAGGCATTCAAAGACTAGAAGTTTGTATGCCTGAGCTTTTGCTATGGCAAGCAGCGGGTCGAAGAAAGGGGTGAGAGCAGGAAAGGGGCAGGGGGCTGTGGAAACACTTACCTGCTTGCCTACGGGTAGCTGGTGCCAGGGATGCTGCTGGTGTAAGGCAGGAAGGGGAGGCACCAGCCATGGTCCCTCTTGCTCAGCCACTCCACAGCCAGAGCCTGTGGCCAGGTACTGTTCATGCTTCATCTTAACCTCCACAGCCTCAGGAATGCCGGGTACCAGCCATGCAGTCACAACCAGCAACAAAACCCAGATGCTGGAAGTGGATGGGAGGTGTGAGTTGGCTGCCATGGTGAGTCCTTACCCTACCCCAGCCCCACACCCTGGGCCACCCAGTTGGACTCAGCAACTGGTACCTCAAAGGTAATGATGAAACCCGAGCATGCAGCCAGCAGCTGCCACTAAGTCAAGGTCAGGCTGCTCTCCTGGTCCATGAATGCTCTATCTGAGGGAGCAAAGTGCAGCAGGTACTGACTCAGCTTCCCAGCAGTTACTCCTGTTCCCAACCTGGCATGCCAGAGCACAGCAGAACCAGCCCTCAGCCGGCTTCTTCTGGGACCCAAGTCCCACAGGTAACCTGTCTCCAGGGCAGTTTATTCTGAACAAAAGTGCCCCGTGGTGTCCCGTGGCCCTCCCCACTGCCCTGCACACAGACATGTCCAGCACACACCCAGCCCTGGCATGAGTGAGGGCTCCCAGGACCTCAAGGAAATGATTGGACAATGTGGATTTGGCCAAAAGTTGCTCTGCTGAACAGAACGTTTGCTGTGGCAGAGGCAGAGAAAGGCAAGAGCCAAAGCTAAGGAAGGAGGAGCCAGCCAAGGCAGGAGCAGGCTCCCAGCTGTTTAGGTGTTGCTCTGCAGGACAAAGTCCCACAGTGCGTGCACCAAGGTGAAGTTCATGTTGAAGCTGCTGTTGTGGATGTACCTGTAGTATGCATGGGGCAGAAAATCAGAGGTGAAGGCTATGAGGAAGGCCTGGAAGCAGGGAGATGTGCTGCAGCAGATCCTGCAGCTGGGGGACACCCCATCCCTACCCTCCTTCATGCCCTGTGCTTCTGAGGTGGCTTTCTGCTTCTCCTTGCCCTCAGCCTGACATACCAGACATGACACTGGTCTGGGACAGCAGACAGCTGTTCTCTTCCCCCAGTTATTGCCAAGCAAGGCCCAGAGCATGACAGCTGCCCACTGCCCACGGCTGGAGCTGCACCTTCTGCACAGGCAGAGCCAGTCTGAGCACTGCTGCTCCCCTCATCATGCTGCATCCTGCAACACCCAAACGAGTTCTCCCCCAATTCCCTTACTCCACCTGCAGCCTCCTCATGCCCCTCTGCCCCCTCAGCACACGTTGCTGACAATGGCCAGGTGAGTGATGACCTCCAGGAGGGAGAACCAGATGCCAATGCTACAGGCCACTGGTAGTCACAGATGCGCTTGTGGGCACCCAAGCAGATCTCCACCCAGTTGCTGAGCAGGGCAAAGAGAGGGGCCAGCAGACAGGCTGCCCTCTTCCTTTTAGTTCTGCAGTTTGGCTTCATCACAAAGATGAAGAAGAAAGAGGAGCAGGGAGGGGCAGACTAAGATGGCATCATTAACTGCAGCATCTTGCAGTCCCAATCCATGGGGAGTGGGGCAGCCCTTCTCCCTCCAGCCCCTGCAGGCTGCTTGGGGTGAAAGCTCCTTTGTATGGGGGACTCCTGTAGTTCCTGCCTCTCTACCCCAGCTTTCTCTCTCCCAGCACCTCTCAGCACTCCCCAGCCTGAGGCCAATCCCTATCCATCTCCAGGTACTCACCAATCAGCCCTTTTAACCCCCAGCGGTGGTTATGGGTGGGCCATAACCCAGTGTGCCTGCTCCACCAGGCCAACTCTCCCTCCTCACCCACCTTCTTGCTTGACAGGAGCTTCCACTTGTGCCACCAGCACTTCAGCTTCCTGGAGGAGAAAAAAGAAGGGCCACATGTCCTCTGCTACTGAACACGCCTTTGGCATCCTGTGCGAGCTCAGGGACACATGATGGCCCTGGCAAGCCAGGGTGTACTCACGGGATATCCACCTCCTGCACGTTGTTGATGGATCTGCTTGCCCCTACGATGACCAGAAGCTCCTGTGGCAGCTCCATGGAGCATCCACTTGGGCTGCCCAGCAGGACCCTCAGCCTGCTTGCACACAGCGATCAGCCCCTGAGCATGGGAAGGAATTCCCACAGCACACACCATCTGGGAAGGCCAGTGTAGGGTCTCTCCAAGTTGGCACCCAGCTCCTCATTGCAGAACTCCAGAAAGCTCAGGTGTTCTGGGACAGCCGACAAACATGCAGGAGCCATTTGGAGTTGTGAGTGAGCACCCCTGGCACTGAGTCCAGGAATGCATCCAGAGCAGCCCCAGGGAAAGAAGGGCTTATCTGGTTCACATAGAGCCCTCTTCTTGCTTCCCAAGGTAGGACAAAAGGGCTGATGAGGGGTCCCAGAATGGGTCACAGCAGAAGGGGTCACAGCACTGCCTCAGTCCCAGGTATCCTGTGGCCATAGGAGGGCTCCCACTCTCTGATGGGACAGTCCCCCTGCCACAGCACTCCCCTGTCCTTCAGCCCTGCCCAAAGGCTCAGGAACCTGCTTTTCAGGATCCAGGGAAAGAAGGGATGGGGCTCTGGAGAAGTTCAGAAGCAAAATTAAGTGGGATCCTACAGCTGTTCATGGGACAAAAGTGGTGACTGTGATCACTGGGTCCCCTGGAAAGCAAGGAGGCTGCAAACCCCATCAGAGCCCCGCAGAAATGCAGCTGCTCATGCAGTGGGACAGTGAGGAGCACTGAGGCACTGACCCTCTTCCCCTGTAAGCTTGGGCACCACAGCCCCTCATCTGCAGAGGCACCCAGAGCTGGAGCTGCTGCACAGGAGCAGAGCAGGCTGCAGGTGCCCTCAGCAGCAGGTAAGGCACCACCTGCTTCTCCACATGAGTCATGTGCTGACTTCCAGCAGATGATAAAAAATAAGGCTGCTGTCACCTGCACATGTTTATGTGGGCAGCACTGGGGTGACTGTGCTGGTGTGGATCAGCCT